GGTATATCATATTTATAAATGATTTGCTCTGGTTAGCATCCCAACAATGCACGTTTGCTGAGGGTTTATCCACATGAATTCGGTTGAATTATAGTCATAACTTTGGGGAGAAAAACAAAAAAAAAATCATTTGGTGCATTTTCAAACAATTTTGAAATCTTTCCAAATAAAAATCAAGTTAATGAGTTTCCTCATTAGATCCAATTGACTCTAGAACACGGGTGTCCAACTCGTGGCATCACGTTGCCGTCACATGACGTTTGGCAATGTTTTTCCCCTTCGCAGAGCTGGAGTGAGCCTGGCCTGCATGTGCTGCCAGTTTGACACCCCTGCTATACAACTTAACAGCTAGAAACTACCATTTGTTCAGCATCATTATAATTTTAAACAGTTGGTAACAAATGGTTGTTAAGTCAGGATACCTGTAATTAATTACCAGGGAAGAACAGGCCTTCATCCAAAGATTTTAGCTAAAAAAAAAGGCTTTTGCAGGAAGTGATGTTTTTTAATATAATTTGGATTAAGAACCGTCCTAATCCTTAATATGATTAAGACACAGTACAAACATGAAATTATCATACCTACTATTGGTTTAGCTCTCAGCCTTTTTATCTTTTATCTGATCTGTATGCCAGTCACTGTCTTGAAAGCATCAGTTGTACATACTGAGCTGAAACAAGAAGCAATTGAAACCCTGCATTTCTACAAGTACGGATGCAGCTTTTCTTAACAAATAATCACTTCAGTAAAAAGATCTCCATCATTCAGAAAAAAAATAAGTAAAACTGTATCATTAAAGGCTAAAGAAGAAGAAGATTCTCCTCTGTAAGTTTTTAGTTTACTGATTTTGTAATGGAAAGTAATGGAAAGAAATGAACAATATTTTGTTTTTAGTTGATGTTGAAGTTTGGAAGAAAGAATTGGAATAGCAAAACTATTTGGAGCCAAATAGATTATTATTATTATTTGGCAAAAAAAAGAACCCTTGTGTGTTAAAGATTTTATTTTTTAATGTTGTTCTAAGGTTCTTCCAGAAGAGGATGACTATGGATTTGACATAGAAGAAAAGAATAAAGCCATTGTGGTAAAGTCTGTTCACCGAGGTTCACATGCAGAGGTAAGCGCTTCTGATTTGTAACTATTTCCTCCTAAATAAAACTTCAGAGTTTCATGTTTTTAAGAAATGGTAAAACACATAGCACCTTCTACAATCCCTGATTCATTAAATTGCTTTGGGGTACTGAAAGGTTTTTCACCCTCGGATCTAGCATTTTTGCAGAAAAATTCAGTAAACTGCTCTCCAGGTATGTTGGGGCTAAAATTCTATTCATTTCCCAAACACTAAGCCTTCATATCTGAAAGGCATCCAGTTATGAAAGTTGATTGAAGTGATAAATACAGTAAAAGCCAAAAATAATGTTTTTGTTGTTGTTAGTTGCAAAGTCATATCTGACCAATCGCGACCCCATGGACAACACTCCTCCAGGCCTTCTTGTCCTCTACCATCCTTTGGAGTCCATTTAAGCTCACACCTAAAAGGTTTAAAGGTTTAAAGGTTTAA